TAATATAAATAAAATAAAATTCAAGTAATAAATGATTTAGCTAATAAAATGTTGTCATTTCCTATTTTTAATATTGAAATGGAAAAAATACTGTAAAAAGATAATATTTAACACTCCTAAATTTACCTTAATGTTGGCATTAAAAAATTGTAGAGCTGGCAACATAGTTATAATTTAACCCAAATATTGTATAGAATGAGTGCAACAAACTTAAAAAAATAATGATTTAGGTAGAAATATCCATATTTTTACTACCACTTTTTAATTCTGTAAAAAAAATAGTCTTTTACTTTTTAATTAATAAATTTTTTAATATATAATTAAAAAGCTATCACAGAAATCCAACTTTATTACATTAAACAGGAAAAATAAAGCCTTCAAAATTTAAAATAAAAAATACAAACAGATAAACACTACCATACTTTTTTCCTCTTTTTTTTTCAGAGTATTATATCAATGTAAAAGACAATGTCTTTATGTTCTTATTGCTATTTGTCTATGTATTTTAACTTAAATCAACAAAATTATTTCACAAACATTTTCAAATACTCCATCTTTTAATAAATAAGATAATATTTTTTTTATTCTTCATTTCTAATTACCTTTCAATAAGCTTTTTGTTTAACTAAAGATATTTAAGAATGCAGGAGATATAATATTATGAAATTTTTGGTTTCTTTCTAATAACTAATGAATTTGAGAAAGAGTGATCGAATGAATTTAAAAAGATTTAGAAGTAAATTTTTTATTGTTTATTTGAGTAAATTTTTGAGGTGAGTGAGAATAGATTTAAAAGTAAAGTTTATGAAAATTAATGTTAAAATTTGATTGATATAATAAATTAAAAAAAAAATTTCAAATCCACTCTCATTTAAGATAATCTTCCATTCAAATAAACAACAAAATATTTATCTTCAAATTTTCTTAAATCTATTCAATCAATCTTCCTTTCTAAATTCATTCAAGTAAAATTCATCTTCCTTTCTAAATTCATTCAAGTGAAATTCATTCAAGTGAATAAGTGGTAAGAGAACAAGAAAGAGAGAAATCACATATAAAAAAAATTGACAACTTTCGTAACTTTTTAAACTCTTTTTTTAAAAAATTATTGAAAACAAAGGGGTTAAACAATCAATTTTGAGAGTTGCAAAGACCAGTTTTTATAGCGGGAAAATTCCCCAGAATTGTCATAACCTAAGAGGTGGTTCATCTCAGAGAGAATCATCATTCTCAAGCTTCTTGCTTGATTCCAGAAAACTAAGGAAGCGTTTGTTTGCGATGGAGAGTGTGAAGAAGAAGAAGATGAAGAGAGGAGACATGGTGTGGGTCAGATTCCCCTTCTGCCCTCGCAAATGGCTTCCCGCGTTGGTTCTTTCTTCCGACAACCTTGGCCTCAATGTCACCTGTTCTTTCTCCTACACCAAAAAAGACACCGTTTTCCCCTCCTCCTACGTCTCCCACTCCGAGATTCTCCCCTTCGAGGAAGCGTTCCCCTTTATCGCTAAGCGCGACGAAGTTGATTTGCCGCTGCTTCATTCCGCGCTACGCTTCTTCGGCCGGAGAATCATTTCCGGGCTGCGTTGTCGGTGTCTGACGGGCCTTGACGGGCCGGACTGTTCTTCCGGGTTTGACCCGACTGAGGTTTTGGGCTTTGTTTTGGACGCCGCCGTTTCGCCGTCGGTCGAACTCCCATCTTTCGCACGTGCTGTTAGAGTCGTTGCTCAGGTTCACGCTTATCGGAGCTGTTGTTCTTTAAAGCACAAGAAACTTTACAAAGAAACTAAAGTCGCAGGTAGTTCTGTTTAGTTTAATAGCAGTTTTGTTTCAATTTCGTCTCAGTATTTTAATAGTTCTTGGTCAAATTATACTTTAAAGGGGTGCATGTAAAATAAAAATTATTATAAAGAAAAAAAATCTAGACTGTGGGTGTAATTTTCTTTAGTATTTTCAACAAATTTTATTGATTGTGCTAGAAGGAAGGTATGAAAAGGTGTGATACTAAACTTTTTTGGCAGGGTTTGTTTTAATTTTGGTCTATTTTATTTTTGAAAAATTTCTAGTTGTTGATTTTAGTTCCTATTTCTGTGTTATTCTGTTGTATTTTGGACTAAGCTTTGAATGTACGAGCCAGGTTTCTGGCTGTAAATTGACGACTTCTCAATGTGGCTCTATTGATTATTGTGAGTTGAGAAAAAAATTTGTAACATTTATACGCCTTGATAAGTTGAGGTTTACCATTTTTCTTGACATAACTAAGCTGCTGGTCCCGTATGGTGAATGGCATCTTGAATTTAGAAACTTCTGTTGAGATAACTATGTTGGATTTTCCAGTTTTGTTGTTATCTGATACTCCAATGTCATGTTTCTGACTTTAGTATACATTGTAGTGAACTGCAGAGGCTGTGTATTGATTTTATCCCGTCATGTTATAATGTTTTTCAGTATGCTTTTTGTAGGTGATAAATTGAAGCTGATTCGAAGTTCAATTTTGGGTCAGAAGAGGCATTTAGTTACTCAAGAATCTGTTGCTTTGGAATCCCTGGTAAAATGTCAGATCGTATCCAAAAACCAACAGTCAAAGAAAGTTCTTGGTGCTATGAAGAGATTGATCTCAACGGTTCCAGTTTGGGAAGTAAATTCTGCACACTTGTTTTTTAATAGACATCCGATTATTTCAGAGAGTTTTATAGACTGTCCTTCTTTAGAGCCACTTTACATGGTGCTAGAAAGACTAAAATCTTCAAGGCAGAGCCTTCTGGGATTCAAAAAGATATCAGACCGGGGCTTAGTTGATATCTCCTTTGAAAACATTGATACTATGAGTAAAACTCACATCTTAGTTCCTTCCAATTTTATGATTCATTTGAGAAACTATATTGATGAAAGAGAAGACAATGGCCAGGAGCTTTGCTGGAGATTGCCTGACAAAGACATCATTGTATACCTTAACAGGAAAAGAAGGCGACTAGATAAATCAGCTTCATGTCATGTTTTGCCTCAAACTAGTGGAGTTCAAGAAAGTGAAAGGGATGCATACATTCTAAAACATACCAGACCACGGATCTCAGACATTAAGATGCTTGAACCAGAAGGAAGTATCCAGAAAGGCATTCAGGCCTCAACGTACGTTTGTGAAACAAATGTGAACTTCACTTACAAGGCTCAGAAAGTGGATTCTACAAGAAGTCAAAACTGTGAATCATTGTCTAACTTGGCGTTTGACTTCCATTCTGATAATTGTGAGGTTGATGCTGGTGCAGCAAAAGGTAAAGGTATTCTAGGATCTGACTCATCTCTTTACCAAGAAAGTCTGCAAATGAGTTGCGATAGTGTTACAACGACTCCCAGTTCAGAAAAGTCTGAAGGAACGAAAATATTTTCTGAGGGTTGTATAGTAGAGGGTAAGGAACGCTTCCAAGGTGTTGCTTCTTCGAAATTCAATTCAAAAGCTGGACAATTATAAAGAAAGCATGTCCCCTCTTGTTGTAAATCCCTTCACATGAAGTTCCCCAAGAATTTCAACCTTCCATCCAAGGAAGAGTTACTAAAAAAGTTTAGTGTAGTTGGTTCGGTAGATTCCTCTAAAACAAGAGTCTTTTTCTACTGTGGCTCGGCTCAGGTGTGCTTTTTACAAGAAGGTGTTGCAGTTGCTGCATATAAATATGCCAAAAGGAAGGCCTTGTTTGGTATGGCTAAAGTCCAGTTTTGGCTTGACCCTTTTGAGCCCAAAAGAAGAGGGTTCCAGCGTTCTGCTCACGTGCCCTTACTGAAATCATGTCTGAAAAAATCCAATACATTGAGAAAGGAAAACCGAAAGAAAGAACGCAGAGTAAGATTTGAGTGCTGTGCTCATATGCCCCCATTAGCTAGTAAACAAACAGGACCGCCACTGAAATCATGTCTGAAAAATTCCAGTACCATAGACAAGGGTAGCATAAAGAAACAACGCAGAGTAAGATTCACAATAGTTACTTAGTTGACATGAATTTACTGAATGAAGAATGTCATAACGTATTTAACTATCTTCTGTTGGCTCTTCTTTGTTTCTTCTTTCAACATGGCATTTTCTCATGGAAGTGACGAAAAAGAAAAAGAAAAACCGAGCATTTAAATGCAAGGCGAAAATGTTAATTTGGTAAATATCAAAGATCTGTATGTTGAATCTTTACAGCTGTAAAAATGTTATCAAATGGATTATCAGAAGGTGACTTAATGGTTGAATTTGTTCTTAACTAGAGATATTGTTTTATATACACTGACATATAAATGTTCACATGATGTGATCAACACCATTCTAAAAAAACCAAAATCAAAATGAATAGGATTCTCAATCATAGGGTTGCTGTATGAATAAAAACTCAAATAAATGCAATATTTTTCATATTTCATGCACAATCAAATTTATGATGAAACTGCAACCATGCACCTCGAACATTTTGTTAGTTAGTAAAACTTGAAACATTTATATATAAACTAAAAAAAATTGTTTTCTTAATACTTTTACTATTATTTTTCTTTGTATTTTTGAAGTAAAATTGATCGCGAATTCTTTTTAATTAAGATCCGGTTAAAAAATATCTATTAATATGTAGGGAACATGATTCTAATAAATTACCTACGATTTGCATTGCCGAAGTCCCACATCGATAGAAATTGAAAGTTAAAATATGTATATAAGGTTTTACGCCTGACTCACTAGTATCTCTGGATTAGGGGAGATGTGATTGGGCCTATGCTTCTGGCTGGGCTTAGGAAAGTCCCCGGGCCCTTACTGCAGAAATGCAGGCCCTGTAAAGGGTCACTACGAGCTGGAACTTGCGGCTGAGACATGTGTGGAGCCTATGCTTGTTCTGCCGTAGTAATTGGCCAATTTTCACAGTCATCCACATGGTCATCATGACTAACAGAACGGGGCTTACTCCCTCCTAATCCCTATTTTAATTTGGTTGATTATAATAATATTATATATTATCAAAATTAATTAAGATAAAAATAAGTTTATTTATGAAGATAGTGGCCTTTATAAAAAATTCATAAAGTAAATTGAATGGAGGACGTGGTAGCTGGGTGAACGTGAAGGTGCAGGAACAATTCCCTCCCTATAAGCTAATTAATATGAAATTGGGAAACGGAACTGAAAATTTGAATTTTATGAATCAGAGATATGTTACTAGAATTAAAATAGAAAAAATCGGTGTGAAACATTTTCATGGTGAAAGTGGTGATAAAACATAGAACAGGTGAGTCATAGGTGTTTGAAAAAATGTTCCAAAAAAGATAATTGGGTATGTTGATTTTTTCTGGTGGCTATAGAGACTTTTGTTAATCGGCTATATGATAGTATGGTTATATCTAGATGGCAAAAAAAAAAAAGAACTGCGGATACTGTATTCGTGGATAAAATCTGTGGTAGATACAAGATATTTTAATATCTGCTTCTAAACCGATCGGATACAAATATTAAACAAGCCCTCATGCGGATATTTGCTATCCGCAAAAAATAAAAAAAAATATTAATTTTTATTTTTTAAATTAAATTTAGTTAAAAATAAAATTAATTTATATTTGATTAAGTTAAATTTAATTAAAATTAAATTTTAATTTATATTTAATTTATTTTATATTATATTTTTTATATATATTTTTTAATTTTATTTAAAAAATATATAAAATTTATTTTTTTAATTTTTTGCAGGTATCTACGAGTACCTACGAGTTTTAAAATACCCGTGATCCTTAGTTATATCATTATATGTATATAACGTCAAATTGGTAAGTTTTGTTAAATTTAGCGTAAGAATGCAAACAAATTGAACCGAATTCACATTGATTGCTGGTAAATTTCAACGTTTTTTTATATGTTGTCGTGATGATATATAGGATGTCGTAATATTTTTATAAGATGTGAAGTTGTAATAATAGTGTTTTTATAGGAAATTATAGTATTTTTATTTGAGGTTGCGATGTTTCTCTATAAAGTTGTTCTATTTCTTGTCGTGTTATTTTATATGATGCCATGTGGTATGAGTTGTGGTGGTGGATTGACACATTTGTTGTATAAACTTGGTTAGTTGTTGATCGAGTTATTATAAATGTTCTATGTGGTGTTTGATATGATTATCATGTTATTGTGATTAGGTATTGAATTTTTTTAGTATTTAATTACCGTGTTAATTAGATTGTATTTTAATGTTTATCATGATATAAACATTGTCATGGGAATTGTGCATGAGAATGAGTTTTGGACACAAGACGTTACACATGTGTAGTATATATTGAATACACTCTTTGGTCATATTTATTGTGTGTGTATATGCACGAGGCAAGATACTTGTTTTGAATACACATTAAACCATCCCTACTAAAATCTCAATAATCATTATCCAAATTAAGATGTTAACACACAATCATCGAGAATCATTTCATCGTACATATGATCTCTCAAAAATCAATTAATAGAATTTATCCCTAAATGTTTGATCCCTTATATAAAATTTATTAATATTAGGGTTACTACTCTGATGGTGTTTCATTCTTCACACTCAAGAATGGTTTGAACATTAAAAGTATCCCGAGTCCTTCAACAACATTCAGGGCCAGGAACACTATATGGGTGCCTGTAGTTAAATGTAGAAAGTGAGTTTCTGTTGCATTGTCCAAAAATACTAAGCACAAATGAAAATGTTAGAGTAGACTTTGCTTCTATGGCATATTATGTTCTTGTTTTAGTTAAGNTGGCCAATTTTCACAGTCATCCACATGGTCATCATGACTAACAGAACGGGGCTTACTCCCTCCTAATCCCTATTTTAATTTGGTTGATTATAATAATATTATATATTATCAAAATTAATTAAGATAAAAATAAGTTTATTTATGAAGATAGTGGCCTTTATAAAAAATTCATAAAGTAAATTGAATGGAGGACGTGGTAGCTGGGTGAACGTGAAGGTGCAGGAACAATTCCCTCCCTATAAGCTAATTAATATGAAATTGGGAAACGGAACTGAAAATTTGAAGAAAAAATCGGTGTGAAACATTTTCATGGTGAAAGTGGTGATAAAACATAGAACAGGTGAGTCATAGGTGTTTGAAAAAATGTTCCAAAAAAGATAATTGGGTATGTTGATTTTTTCTGGTGGCTATTGAGACTTTTGTTAATCGGCTATATGATAGTATGGTTATATCTAGATGGCAAAAACAGATATTTTAATATCTGCTTCTAAACGGATCGGATACAAATATTAAACAAGCTCTCATGCGGATATTTGCTATCTGCAAAAAGTAAAAAAAAAATATTAATTTTTATTTTTTAAATTAAATTTAGTTAAAAATAAAATTAATTTATATTTGATTAGGTTAAATTTAATTAAAATTAAATTTTACTATATATTTAATTTATTTTATATTATATTATATATATATTTTTTATAATTTTATTTAAAATATATAAAATATATTTTTTTAATTTTTTGTTGATATTCGCGGGTATCTACGGGTTTTAAAATATCCGTAGGTATTTTCTAAGCGGTATCCGTGCGGATTGCGGGACAAATTTTATTTTGCGAGTTGGGTTGCGGGTAGGCACTATCCGTGATCGACCCGACCTGTTGCCATATTTAGTTATATCATTATATGTATATCACGTCAAATTGGTAAGTTTTGTTAAATTTAGCTTAAGAATGCAAACAAATTGAACCGAATTCACATTGATTGCTTGTAAATTTTAATGTTTTTTTATATGTTGTCGTGATGATATGTAGGATGTCGTAATATTTTTATAAGATGTGAAGTTGTAATAATAGTGTTTTTATAGAAAATTATAGTATTTTTATTTGAGGTTTTGATGTTTCTCTATAAAGCTGTTCTATTTATTGTCGTGTTATTTTATATGATGTCATGTGATATGAGTTGTGGTGGTGGATTGGCATATTTGTTGTATAAACTTGGTTAGTTGTTGGTCGAGTTATTATAAATGTTCTATGTGGTGTTTGATATGATTATCATGTTATTGTGATTAGGTGTTGAATTCTTTTAGTACTTATCGTGTTAATTAGATTGTATTTTAAAGTTTATCATGAGATAAATATGTCATGGGGACTGTTCATGAGAATGAGTTTTGGACAGAATGACGTTACAATGTGTAGTGTATATTGAATACACTTTTGAGTTTGATCATATTTATTGTGTGTATATGCACGAGACAAGAGACTTGTTTTGAATACAAATTAAACCATCCGTACTAAAATCTCAATAATCATTATGCAAATTAAGATATTAACACACAATCATCCAGAATCATTTCATCATACATATACGATCTCTCAAAAATCAATTAATAGAATTTATTCCTAAATGTTTGACCCCTTATATAAAATTTATTAATATTAGGGTTATTACTCTGATGGTGTTTCATTCTTCACACTCAAAAATGGTTTGAACATTAACAGTATCCCAAGTCCT